CCTGATGTTTGTATTGCATTATCAGAATATTAAATGCAACACAAACATAAGCTGGTAATGAACCGGATCATCTCAGATAGCCTTAGACTTCATCTATCATAAAGACAATATAGAGCAAATTCTATATGATCCATATGTGATCAACAGGAGATGAACAAATAACAGAACACAAGTGAGGATGATCATACGCTCTTGGAGAACATCATGTACATGCGAGACCAAAACCACAAGGGTACCAAATGGTCTGGGGCTGTCTCTGGGGTATTCAAATGCCCGCTCTGGGCTGATAATAAAATTTGAATTGGCCTAACGTGAGCAAAACCCAACTTTTCACTGCCTGGAAGGGCTGGAAAGAACACGGCTGGAATTAACTGATGTATTACGTCCCCTGGAGAAAATTCACTCCAAGATGGCGGGGCTTATAAGATTGCATGTAAACGCAGGCTAGTCTTTGACCACGCTGGGCGGGTTACTTCACCTACGGAATCAAGTTCCATGGCCTTATGCCAAAACAATTACAAGATCATTTCAATAGTCATGCATTCTTATTCAAAAGTCTATTTGGTACTTTGGCAAACAACTACTAGCATGCAAATAAAGTCAAAATTATGCACATAATCAGGAGTATAGTCAGGAGCTCCTGACATAACTTCATTCACCATTTGTATTCACGAGTTTTGCTCATAGTGTACTTTGATTAGTTGTGTTTGCGATACAGTGCGCTGCTTGGAAGGGAACATTTAGAGAAAGTTTCTTAGAAGTTGTTCGACAATTTTTATTTCTGAGTAATCACCTTAAAATGAGATCAATGCTAGTCACAATTTGGAGTCAAAGCATTTTAATGTTTTTAGTTATGAAAAACTAGACATACATTTTTGTCTTGTTATAAATCTATATAATCTATATAAATCTATATAATAGATCTATAAATCTCTATAAGTGAGCCAAACAGATGCAGGGTTAAGAAAAACCACTACATTAATTATTCAATCAACAATTAGTGTATATTTGAAAGCTGTTTATATCTTTAAAACTTGAGTTTATCAAAGAATTTTAAAAAAATATATGTACCTTCATAATTTGAATGCAAACGGCTAAAGCACTTGACGTTGTGGCTAGTGTAAAATTTACTTTTCTCACACATCACTTGGAGCTCAAAGTGGTTATCAGTACTTTAGGCCTTCCTCTCATTGGCATTCTATTAGAGATACGTCAATGATGCTGGGAAAGAATGTGTAGTGAAAAACTACAAAGCAGCATCAGATCTGGATGATATCAAAGTTACCATGAGTACGTGAAAGATAGTCAAATGTGCCCAACATTTAATCTTCAAGTTTTTGGCTTCCAAGTTGTAACTTAAAAGCTACGAAACAAAGAAAGGTTGTGTTGCATCATCTCATCGTCTCCATATAAGATTTGAATCTGAGATGACTTTGTGCTTGTGCTTGTGGTATTGTAGACGGTGTTAAGAGCCACCTTAATCTGCAATTTTGGTCACTCTGACAGTCATTTATGGAAAAGAGAAGCTGTACTTTGTAGATTATAAGTTGTTAACCTCAAAAATGAAAAGGGGCACATTTAATCTCTTTCAGTGTCTGCATGACAACTAATTTTAACATTGGAGATGTCATTCTGTCTATTGTTAAAAAGAAAACCCAAACAGGGTTATTCTAACGTTTTTCCTTAACAGAAGGAGGTTAGCTTTGGTAGGATACAAACGTTAGCATGGAAAGACTTATAACATATATACAACTTAAGTTTAAATTTTCAAGAATCATTATACAAGCACACCAACATGTTTGCAAGTTGTGGTGATATATTTATCCAGAAACCCATATTGGTTCCAAGCATTGAGGCCATAACCCCGGGGAATATCAGTCTTTGCTACTGACAGCGTGGATTGAGCACAGCAAGTAAGGGGCCTGTGTATGGAATAGATCATGGGCTGATATTTTCCCAGTACAGCTCGCATGCTTAGTCAAAAAGATTAATATATCTGTCACTACAGAAAGTCGTGTAAGAAAAACATATTACAAATCTATAAATGATATAAATTCAAAACGATCATGTAAATCCATATAAATTCAAATTTTAAACATTTCTTTTTCTGTGTAATTAAATATTAATGACAATTCTCTGAATATTTACTACATCCCCCTTCTGGAAATGCAGTAAAAACGATTTTCTGTATGTACACACCATCTCCTTGGGACCAAAAAGCACTGGGATAGTATTTGTTCAAAGGGCTTGTGGCACTTGTGGGCACGTGTTGCTGCACCATAAAAGAGTTGTAGTCTTACTAGAAGGGACTTTCATGCGTGAAATGGTTTGGACACAGATAGGAATTCCACATACGTTATGAAATGACCTAGTCACCATAAAACGTATTTCAAGGAGTGACAAACAATCAGTTTGATACTAGTTGCGAAAAATAACATAAGCAGCCTCAGAACATGCCAAAGTGATGTAATATGCCAGCAAGATCCAATAAACAAAACATCACAGTACCTGAGGAGAAAACAAATATTGCTTAATTTATTGTACATTGGAGTTCACTGTCTAAAAAGTACATTGGTGTTGTTCTAGCATGAGTTTCAGAAATGTTAATTTTATCTGTCCTGTTAACCATCCAGAAGTTTCTTGTCTTTTCATCACTATTCACTATCATTATTACATAAAATATATTTTATTGACATCATTGGTTTAATATATTAAGTGTAGCACTGACAAAATAGTTCATATGAATCATTGAAAATGTACTTACTGGATGTGCATCAAGTATATCTAATTCTTGGTCCTCAGCGTGTCTGCAAAAACAAGAAAAATCCATATTAAAAGCAATATAATGTAGACCCCAGACACAAGAAAATTAAAAACTGACAAAGAACACAAATTGAATTTACCAAGTTAATTTTAACGCTTATTTTAATATTATTATATAGCTTAACTGTATGATTCAGTTATTACTAACATTGCTTGGACTATTTAAAAAATACTAATTTCTCGTCAGATAGAATCAGAAAATTTGCTAGTGTATTTCTTTACTTAAAACCTAGTGAAATTATATTTTCACTCCTTCAGTCAAACCTGCAATCAATTCATCTGTTCTTTGCTTTAACCCTTTGAATACCAACTACGCATATATGCGTAATTAATGGTCGTGCTCTTTGTACCGCTTGTGACGTCATCAATTTAAATGCCATCAGATATTCTTGATAAGCAGATAGTAGTGCTAGGCTAGCCCTTTCCGCACAATGGTCAGGTTTAGAT